CTGAACGTTACGAGTGTGTCAATAGTTTTTAAACTCTCGAATTCTGTACTTTCGTATGTACAAACATATTTTGCTAATATCTCATTTACTTTAGTAAAGATATCATCAAAAAGCTAGACGTGATAATACTTGTTTGTAGAAATAATGTGAGAAAGATTGATTTAGTAAGTTACACCACAATTACGGTGAAACAGGCAATTTTCATCATTTGTAACATTAATACAAAATGCTGACATTTGTAATTTTTTACAGATAGTTAGTTACAGATTGCTTTCAACAATCTAGACACTCAAGATATTTACTTAGTTAGTTGATTTAATATATAAAAGGTGAAAAACATCCTTCACTACAATGCAATAGTTTGTACTGTGGTTTTACAATAGATTAGAATCTATTTCGCTATTGAAAATTAGATGAAAAGTTTCGTAATAGATTCGAATTTTAGACCAAATCAAAATATATGTATTGTAAGTATTGGGACATTTATTTTTTACATTTGTTGAAAAATTCTGACAAGTGCGCGTGCAAATTTTGTCCAATTTATGTCAAATCTATATACTGTATTCGTACACTCGATGAAAAAACTTTTACAATTTCGTGAGAAAAGATGGTACAACGTACTGGAATAACGTGCCACGCACGTAGAGAATTTTTTGCTCCAGAATTATAATAGTTCTTCAGTTTTAAGTATACTCAAGTAAAACAAAATAGGCAAAACAAATGATAAATTTGTTACTTCTCAATAATTTCTATCCGGTGATGCCATACCGACAAGTTCAAAAAGAAAGCGACGAATTATTGTTATTACAGTTTGGCCACTCGTTATGGTCCGCAATCAGTTGCCAGTGGTTAAGTAACGGTCGTAAAGAGGAGAGACTTCAGTCCTCAAGATCGTAGTGAAACAAATTTTCTTCAATGTCCATAGAGATGTTTGAATTTGCCAAATTTTCCCCCTTTCGAAATGACGTAAGATGGTCTTTGAAAAAAAATCCCATTTTATTACGAAAATAAAAATCCTTACATCTGAGAACGAGCGCAACTGAACTTTCTTCTTTTATTAAATTGGGAAAAATTGAATTCTGCATCGACTGTGAAAACACTGTCTCGAAATGAAAAAAGTCGATGCTTCAAATTATTAGACGAATACTTTCTACGCTCGCTGTACGTAACCGCCAAGGAAGCACCATTGAATCATCCTATGCATCGCGGTACGGTACTCCGTCGCAAAGTTTCAACCTAGCTAAACCGCATGTTACAATGGAATAAATAAACATTGGAGAAATTTCATCAGAGAACTGTAGCAGAACCGTATTCTGTAATAACGAGATGGTGCGCGCGATACCGCGTTGCCGTAACGCTTTAATAAACAAATTTCTGCCACTCGCTCGCGGTATTCAGCCCTTATAACGGATGGAAATTAATAATGAACCGTGGACCGATTGCCGTGGATGACACGGTGGCGTAAATTCAAATTATAAAACTGGACATGACGCAACGTGACGGCCATTGAGGCTCGGAATACCAATCTCGCCGCGTTACGTTCCCCCGGTTCGAGATTGTATCAACGCGGAAATCATCACGCACGCGTTTCACGCTGAAAACATTACGTAAAGTAGCATTTCGTCGGTGTTTGTTCAAGAGTTTAGCTGGATAATATATCTGGATGATATTACGCGCGAGCGCATGCGTAATTGAACGTGATTTTCACGACTAACGCGATTAGTTTTGAAATTAAATTGTGCGAGAATTTTGATTTCGCGCAATGAAAGGAGTAAACTTGTAGAAATCATCAGGTATGTAATTAATCACTTTCTGGTGAATTTACAATATTTATTAGAGAATCTCAGTAATATTTTTCTGCATTCTTCCGAGAGAATTGTTTTTGTTACGAAGTGTACACGTGCTATATAAAATTCTATATGAATTTGCAAAATCTATGTTACACTGCACGTTTTCAGTTCTTCCATACTCGATCTTCCGAAATTTGACATTTCCCCGATATCACTTTCACAAATTTTACGACCATAAAGGTTTGCAAAATGTAACCAAATTATATCATACGCAATTATATCCTCTTTTTCTTACTCCAAATTACTTCGATGCATGTTAAATCAATATATCTTTCGATCTATTTTGAAAATATCTTTATGTTCGCCAGGTTACACTCAACGCATACTTTCTTTCAACAAGCTTTACGAAAAATTATTGAAAATTATTGCGTACACGATAGTTGGTCCCATCTATTTTATCGTACTAAATAAGATATTTTTAAAGTTGTCCCATTTTCATCGTTCAGTCGGAAAAGAAAATTGATAAAACAAATTTCATCGCTTCTTCTTCTCCGGCTAGCTGTCTACGTGAAACATCCTTCAATAAATCGTAGCACAATAGCCCGAAAATGTGTATGTGTGTCAACGTTGGATTAATCGAGTTAACGTTGCTCGGTTGCACCGGAATCGTTGAACCGTTGTTGGTGCTTCAAATAGTAGAACAACCGAGGCGAGAGCGAAACGTATCTGTGCCTTTCGAGGCAATCGAGCTTCCGGTAGCTGGTAGACATCATAATTCGCTTGCTCGTTCAATTATGGAAACTAACGAGACTTAAATCGATTTACAAACGCAATCTAATAACCAGTCGTTTGAATCTCTCGCTCCCTTGCATGACGCGAGCTACTTCCGTGAGATTTCGTACGATTTTATTGAATATCATTGAAACTGAGACGCAGGAGGAGTGGAGCACGCTGTATTGGAAAATTTTCCTTTGATTTTCGCGGTAATGATTGATAGCAACATCCATCACCTCGGCGCAGGATCGATCTGTTATGAATTTAAATTACGTTAGCGACGTTTCTGTATCGGCATTGTGATGTTAAATATCTCTGGTAGAAAATATAACATAAATGTCTTCTCGCGTGTGTAATTTCCGGAATAAGCGAACGTAGAGATACGCTTGAGCATTAATACGCGTAATAACAATTTTCACAAAGGAACGCGGGCGAAGCATTTTTGCGGAACACTTCTTGCCTGCCTTTTTGCAACGTTTGAACGTCGTCCTGTCTTTGTTGAATTCTGTTTCTCTGTTTCTCTTTTTTTTTTTTTTTTTTTTTTTTTTTCTTTAATTATCTCTGAGTGTATTTGTGAGAAGCGCGGAGAGGTTCCTCGAAAATAAATCTAGCTCGCAGCCAGCGCTGATACAACTTCCCACGCGCGTGCAAACTTTGTTTCACGCGAAAATTCAAAGGAACGAGACAAGTTAGTTAAACTTGGCGATCGTTTTCAAAAGCACGTTCAGAAAGATGTCGCGCACACGTTTAAGCAAATGACGCGTTGCAACTTCGAATGCATCCTGTAAATAAGGTACGGATACTGTGTATCGATCCTCGTCCGTTCAAATAAACCCTACTCCCCCGCGACCTTGAATTATTCGAAGGTTGTGACACACGGAATATTATCCGACTTTTTCTGTAATTGAAAAATAACGTCTCTCTGACATAATCTGTAGAGACTAAATTAAAAAAAAAGAAAAAATAATACTAATAATAAGTTCCAAATGACTAGAAACGATAGAAAGTGTGCCACTGTGTTTTCCTTTTATCTCAATGCTCGACTGTCCGTTCGTTAAATTAAGGTTAAACGCCATCTCGTGTGGCATCGTAAGCGTAACATCAATTTGAAGAAAGGAAAGAACTTCTTCGAGAGAAACGATAAAATAAAGTGTAGTCGATATAATAAAAGAGAGTGAAGGACACAATCTGGCTGTAGTTCGCCAAGGTCACAACGACCAGTTTCAATTTCGTTTCGGATCTATTCAGAAAACGGAATGAACTCGAGCAAAGTTCGCGTCTCGCCACTGATAGCAACCCTGCTCGAAGTCGTGTCTTTTTATTTCCTCTTTTCCTATCAGGGAACAGGAAATCATCCCGATGAACGTCGGAAGTTGTTCGTCGAAAAGTGAAAACAACGCGACGCAGCCGGAGAGCTCAAGGCGGGGAGAAATCGAGGTCATAGTTGGAGAACGTGGGACGCGACCCCTTTTTAAATGGGCCGCGTGCACGTGCCGCATCAACGCGTCATCAACGTATTGCAAATGCATCACGTTTCTGGGAGTGATATCGCGAGATGTAGAGATATTGCATCGCAGACGCATTCCAAGTGTGTGTATGTGTATGTGTATGTGTGTGTGTGTGTGTGTGTGTGCACTGTCGTTTTCATTACACGTCGATGATATCGCCGTTAATAATTCGCTAGGTATAAAATGACATGTCAAGGTACGTGTGCTATTTATGAGCTTCCGGAAAGGTGTATATATATATATATATATATATATATATATATATATATATATATACATACAGGGTGTCCCGGGTTTTTCCCGCCAAACTGCGAGAGCTTATTCGGCGAGAGGGGCCAAAAGAAGAAAAAAGTGTTACACGAAGTTTGCGAGTTAACGCTTCATTACAGAGATACAATCAAAAATAGATACTTAGTATTTTATTCAGTTTCAGTATTTCATTCACTCCTTTCCTTTGCACGAGCCCGTTTCATAATTGGAGATGAGCGTTGATAAATAAGTGTTGGTCTTACACCGCTCGACTTTTACCTATGGGATACTTTGAAACGAAAGGTTTACTCGACCGAAGTGACTTTAATGCAGTTATTGAAATGCAACAAGATACTGAGACACTGCGTAGAGCAATAAATTCAGTTTTTCGTCGATGTCAAGCTTGTATACGAGCGGAAGGACATCATTTTGAAACGAGACTTTAAAAATAGCGAGTAACTGTTTATCATTATTCGTTTATATCTCCTTAACAAAGCGTTAATTCGCAAACTTCGTGTAACATTTCCTTCTTCTTTCGGCCCCTGGAATAAGCTCTCGCAGTTTCACGGGAAAAACCAAGGACACCGTGTATATATATTCAGAGTTTCAGATTGCGTATCACGAACAAATCTACGCAATCTTCTAACAATTTACGACTCTTAAAACTCGTCTCTTTCAGGCTGAATATTTGTTCAAGAAGAATCCAGAGGGTAAAATGTTCGAGCCGGAGTACACGAGCACGATGAGCTCGATTCTGGACATGATCGACGAGTACGGCAGCTTCGTTCTACCGAAGGCAGAAGTCAGCGAGAAGATGCTGGGATTTTTGAAAGGAGAGGGCGAGAAGTCGGAGAGCGAGGAAATGACGGAGAGCAACGAGTTGGACGCGACTTGTGTCACGCCGTGCTTCGCCTACGACGACGTGGACGCGTGCGAGGATGGAGAGGAAACCGAGCGGACAGTTTCCGAGCAAACCTAAAGGAAGCAGGTTTGACGAAGCTCGAACGAGCCGGAAGGTCCTTCCCGAAGGACCGGGACGTCAGGCGAAACGGTCTGGCAATTAATTCGCTTGCACGTGGCATCGCAATGACAACATTTGGCATTCGTCGTCACCCGGAATTCCTGCAATCTGTTTGAGCTCGACAAGCTGATACCCTACGATAGCTCTCCTCGATAGCTTTAAGAAAGCGTACACGTCGAAGTGCGCAATTGTACTTCAATGGCGTCGAAAGGTTTAAAAGATGTCACTCTGCTTTGCGAGTCGCGAGCTCGTTTCTTCTTCGTGAGTGATTTTACGTCGCGCAGCGACGAACCTGATGGAAAACTTTTGTTTTCCTTTTGTAACTACTTTCGTTTTTAAAATGGAAGTCTCCGTTGAAATTTGTTGCGCGATCCTTTTATTGGATGTTGGGATTAAACGACAGAGATTCAAGAAATCCCAACGTTTCGCCATGTTCAAAATTTAATAAAATATCTACAACAAGTTTCGACAACGAGTCGTTGTTGAATTTTTTTCAATACCTTTACGTACGTTTTTATGTGAATTTTTGCAAAAAATGTCTTCATTCTCTCACTTGCTACATCTTCGTACGAGCTGAAAATAAAAGCTTAATAATGTTCTTATTTACGTTGCATGTTCTTATTTTACGAAGTTATTTTTTATTGTCACTGATACAGTTATGCTTTGCACTGTGTCACGTAGTATGATGGGCAGATGGCGAATTCCAGCGTGTCCGTGGAAATTTTAAATATTCAAAAAATGCGCAGAATATTCAGAGAAAAGGATTCCTTGATATTCAGACGACCAGACGGATTTTTCTTTTGATTTTCATTCTTGTAATTGCATTCGAGGAGGAATAAATTTGCATGAACATTTGCAGCGTGATGACAACCGTGAATATTTATTCCAAAATGTATGTAAAACACGCCAGAGATCATACTGCACGCTTATTCCCATGTAAATAATAAATAATAATAATTCCCAGTGCAACAAATTCCTCTTGTTGCATTCATTTCATTTTGACGGAATTACGTTAAAATACGAGAAAATTTGTAAATCAAAAAGTCTGTAACATTTTTATCGGTTCAGCGTGTGTCAATCTCTTCAGAGAACGAGTTTATAAAAATGCTATTGCAATTTCCTGTTTGAGTCTCTTCGACAGTAAATCGCACGATTTAATAAAATTTATAAATATATACCTTTCCTTGGCAATCTATCTTTCTATAAAATAAATATAACGATATTCTCGCAAAAAAAAAAAAGAAAGAAAAAAAACGAATAATATCCTTTTGAACGTTACGGGCAGGTATAATACAGTGGGACAGGATAGCCATTTTACGGGGCATTTAATCCAACAGGATTATTTTAAAGATAAAATCTCCATAATTTAATACGAGAGACTTAAAAGAAACGAGGCAAACTAAATTACTTAAGGCCGCGCGTGACCACCATAGTGGCAAAAACAGTTTTAACGTGGCGCGTTTGTTCTCGTACTTTGTGAAAAAAAAAGGCTTTTGAATCATTCGTTGTTCACCGATTGCTTAATTTCGCTACACCTACGCAGAAATGACGATGGGAGGGGAAAAGGACCGATTTGACGTTGATTTAAGACCTTTTTTTTTTTTCGTTTTCAATTACACGATTACGCGGTTCTAACAGAAAGATTTTTATATTATACAGGACACGACTCGACGTTCTATTTATTATTATTCTCTTTTTATATAAAGTTTTTATACGCACTATCGGAACATGCTGAACGTTTTAAAAGCTTATACTCTGAATCTCATCCTACGCTTTTAAATTCAGAAACAACAAGTACGTTTCGATATCGATTGCAAAAAAAAAAAAAAAAAAAAGAAAAAGGTACGTATACGTATATGTGTCGTTCTGTATTCAAGTTTATGCGTTGCCCGGCGCACGAAGTGGAATCTATCGTACTAGTCAGACCCTGCCTGTGGAACATCTATCACTGGATAATACAGGTAAACAGAAAGAAACTGCGTAACCACGATTTATATATTTACTCAAACTTACGAAACAGAGAGAGAGAGAGAGAGAGAGAGAGAGAGAGAGTTTACGAAAGAGTAGAAATACAGTGAAGAGCTTAACTCCGAGCAATAACGATGAAAAATTGTCGATAAGTTAAATTACTGTTGTAATTTTCTAGAAAAAAATCGCACAACGATCCACTTGATCTCTCACTTTCGCACTCTTGAATTCGTTTCGTCCAAAGATGAATACACTATTCAAACTCATGAGAAAGTGAAGATACTCTCTTCTCAAAAAATTGTAAGAATTCGTACGTTTCTAGAGACGTAAAAAATAATAAAAAATTTTTCTCATAGAGGCAACTAGATTCGTCATTATCTGACTCACCAAAACAATCTCTTCGTTAAACTCTGCTGTACGATCATCCTTCGTTATTTTGATGATGGAACTTTAAATATCAGGATTTCTCGAATTTTGTCGTTTGATTTTAACATTCAAAGTCTAATGAAATACTGAGCTAGTTCCAAGGGGAGATTTTTACTCGTTGAAATGACAATGTGTAATCAAGAGGGAAACAAAACCGAGTAAAAGTTCCCGCGCTTTTATTTTCCTTTGCCAAGTTGTAATAGCTGAAATTATCGACAACGTTCCGTCGTTATTGGTTCAGAGCGTGTGCTCTCCACCGTTATACATACGTGGAAACGCGGAGCAGTACAAAGAGAGAAAAATACGAAATACAAAAGTATTCGGATGTTTCACGTGTGTGAGTGACTCGTTGAACCGAACCGCGATTTGACGCGAGCAAGAAACATGTACGTTTCGAGCATCTCCACGTGTGCTATGTGAATATACTGCATGTCCCGCAAATTCGTATATTACAGACCTTGACCGATCCACGGTCGCGCGCCGAAAACAGGAAGAAACTAGCGCGATAACGGCTCGATTGTGAACGTAACGGGAGAACAAACATCGTAGAATTTCTCTGCAGGATAAAAGCATTATACGTTATAACAGCCGACGGGTTAGCGTACGGAATTAAAAAGCGTTCGACGATCATAGCCAGAGGCTATGCTTCCGCGGGAAAATACCCGTGCAATGTGAATGCAATCCGTTTCTATAAAGTGAATGAATCCGTTTCCAACCCGTTATCGTAAATCCGATATAAAGGGAAAAGTGCGCGGAAAAGCTGGTCACGTGGAAATTTAAGTCATCGAGCGAGACTTTTTCGCGTGACTGTTCACTGTGGTGAGTTGCATGCGAGATTGCATTATGTCAAAGGAAAAGAAAGAATGAGGAGGTAGAAAATCAAGCGGGAAACAGGAAAACGGAAAAGGAACTTTTTAGGAACTTTTTCGTGGCGAACTGCATTATGCCAAAAAAAAAAAAAAAAAAAGAAGAGAATGAAGAGCAAAAGAGGCAAAGATTGATGATAGTCGAAGGAACTTTTTCATTGTGGCGGACGTGAAATTGCATTATGTCAAAAAGAAAAACAAGAACGAAGAGGAAGTAAATTAAGCGAAAACAGAAAAACAGAATAAAGGGCGATGGTAGGGGAGAGCGTAGAGACACGTGTCGGATTTTCACAAACGCGTCATACGTGGGGCATTAATATACATTTAAACGGACGGAGAAAGCATCGGCAACGAAGCGCGCTAATTATCAACCGAATGATAATGACATTAATATTTCCCTGTGAGGACGCGGGCTTAAAATTCGCCATAACCAAAGTACTACGAAGCTCATGCTCCCTATCGAGCCGCAGGCGGTCTTACGGGGCCAAGGACGATGCACATTGTTCCGTGTCTTTAATATGACGCAGGTTCGGTCCGCCGTGAGCGGATTCGTTGCACCGTCCGCTTACCTTTTTCGTGTTTCTTTTCATAACAAGCGGTAAAATTGCCTCGCAACGACGCCGATAACGGGCGTCGATAAAAATACGCTTTTACGCGGACGTTTTCTCTGTTATCCCGATCGGAATATCCGTGCGCGCGTTTATAAAAGTTTCGTCAACGAACCACTATAAATAACGCGTACTACGATCAATGTAGTATAATAAATTGCTGAATCTACGTCGTCGTTTTTTTTATTGTTCTACTACTTTTTGCAACGTTCGCCGCGTTTGCATCTTTTCTTTCCTATTTTCCCCTGAGCTTTCATCCGTTTTCTTACGAACTTGACAACGGATCGCCATCGATTCCTAGTAAATATAAATAGGATGCGTGCCAAGTTGAGAACGAGCGTAACGCCTACACGATCGTCCCGTATCGGCCTGACGATAATAAATCCGCGATACGCGATGCAACAACGCGTCACGCAACGCAGAAACACTCCACAAACGAACGAAATCTCGTTTCTTTGGTCGAGAAGAACGATTGGAGGATGTCGATGCAACGAAAGATCTGAGAATGTATGTTGGAAGGATTGACCTTCGAACATTTTCCAAATTTCTATACTTGGAGGAAAAGCCTCGAGAAAATGAAGTGAGAACATGTCGGCGCAGTCGCAGCATTGTTTGGAAAAACTATTTACTAGCAGAGAAGACGTCGATGGAACGCTTTGTCTCTGTTTTCACGAACTAAGTACAAGAATTTTCAATTACGTGCTCGAACGATCGAGACGGCTGCCGAAGACTGTATAGCACACTCCGCTTCAACAGGTAAACGTTTTAGCGACTCGTTCGTTCCCCGAGCAGTCAGCCTTTAATCGACTTTCGAGAATATCGATTTACGATCGAAGCGAGAGTTACCCCTCGTTTCTTCGAAAGTTGTCACTCGTTCGAAAGTTTCTCGACGTGGAATAACGATTCCATTTCAACGCGAGGCATTGATCAGCCGGGGCGGGGATCGAGGAAGCGGGTATTTTTGCCAGAGAGAAATCGCGAACGAATTTCGCAGGTGTAAAAGGCGTGTTTCGTGTGTGTACGCCGTGAGCAACGTAGCGTTTATATATAGCCGATAAGCGCAGCCAGTATATCTGTATTTTCAAACACCTGTTAGCAGCTCGTGTGGGCGGCTCGCCACATCGTCTTTAAATTCTTGCCGCGATTCGGCACCGAAACTCAGCCGCCTTCCACTCGTCCTCCCACGTTCTTTCCGCGTTCGCGATCCCAACCACGAGTGCCGGACACGCGGACGTTTTCCTTTCTGCCGCCAGCCCTCCCTCTAGCGTTTGCTCCGCGCAGAATAGAAAGAAATGAAACGAAAGGGAAGAAACAAACAAATAAAAACAGAGTGCGTAGAAACTTACCGGCATGACCTTGCACGGAGTAATTGGCTTCCTCGCTAGGAAGGACAACTTCCTCGAGGACGCTCTCCGAAGCGGTCTTAACGACGCCCATGTCCGGGTACGCTTCTCTTAGCTTCGCACGCTGTGTATGGTACTCTACTCTGTCGGTATGGTACTCTGTGGTACACGCTGTAAGCGGATGCGATGAGGTGAGGATGTCCGACGAGAGGCGATTACCTCGGCTTCGGATCGTGCCGCGTTGTCTACCGTTGCCGGAATGCTCGGCGCCGTTTCGCCGACTTATTGCGTCTGCGTCCGCGCCTGCGTCCTCCGCCCCCTCCCTCGAGCCTGCTATCCTGCTCCTCTTCCCTCCTTGACCCTCACGCCGGTGTATCCTTCCCTCCCCCTCCCAACCCCCGATTCTTTCCGCACCCCGTCGACAACCCCTCGCCTTCCTTGGCTAGCAACGTGTCGCGGGACGGGACACGAGGGGAGGCAAGGCAATCCCTAGGCCAGGGTGAACACGCAGGGAAGAACGGACGGTGAGCGGGAAAGGGTGGTAGTGTAACAGTGATGGTGTGCCGGAGTGAAGCTACACCGTGGCTCGACACACGTCCAATCGCTACGCTACGGGGGTTGCTCGTTTGCTAGCGCGCTGCCGCGCGAGATGCCGCGCCAGCAGCGAGGCACACAGGGGCAATGTCGATCTACTGGGTCTCGGTGAAGGTCTCGGCTGGCCTACTCGTACTCCGATAATACGTCCTCCTTCCTACGCCTTCTTTCTCTCTCTCTCTCTCGCTCTCTCTCTCTTTATGATTCCTTTGCATTTCGCGTCTTATTGAACAAACGTATAAATTAATGTACATGCCACGCGTTGTCATTTGCTACTCGAAAATGTTTGTCAATACCTCGGCCGCGTGATTTCGTTCGATGATATTCTCAGCACATGCACGCTCTTCGAAAGCGCGCGCATCACCGAATTATCTCGACCTTCGCGCCTAATTAGCCGATACTATCCCTCCCGAGCCCTACACAGAGCTATCTCGTTCTAGCACGCGTCGCGTGATCGCGATTCAGGCTTTACGTAACGTAGCTCGAGTCGAGTGTACCCGTGCAATTTACGTGCCTCCTGATGCAATCCGAATGGGAGTTCCCTTCTCCCTTCGATGGTCAAGTTACAAGCACGATCACTCACGACCAAGGATCGTGTAAATAGAGCGCCCCAAGGATGAAACGAAGCAGATGGATCTATTAATCGCGGCATTTCTCGCGAGACTCGCCCCCCTTGTCGTCTATATTTTCGCCTTTAAAATCCCTTCAGCGTCGATCCCGACATTTCATTCTCATTATCTCACTCGGCATCCTCATTGAATTTCCACCCTCGCTCGCTCTACGGACGTCACGTGGCGCGAGGCCGCCGCGCCGGACTTGTTGCACGCAATCAAGCCAGCCGAGAGGAAAACAACGGACGGAAGGATGAGACGTTAAACGCAGAGCCGGTCATCTCATCCCGTGGGAGATGCCTCGGTCTTACTTACTCGCGTCGCTTAATTAATCCCTCTAATTGGTCTCTAATCGATCGGCCCCGTCGATACGAGCGCGTGGATTTCGTGTATCGCGCGGTTTATTCAAGGTCAACGGTGTCTCCCAGCCTGGGCACAGCTGGCTGGATGGCTCGCTCGCTCGCTTTCAGCCGCAAGAAAGGGAAGCACACCCCTTTAATTTTCGACGCCACCCCTGTTCGCTCCACTTTCCCTGTTCCACGGCCTCCCGTGAAACGCCACATGCTCCGCTTCTCCCCTAAGCGTCGTTCGCCGCTCGTCATCGATCGAACGATCCCGTCGTCGCGCCCGGATTCCTGCGTGCCTCGCGTCCCTCTGTACAACTCTCTTCTCCGTGGCATACCAAGGAACGCGTGCATCGGCGCAACTGGTGCACCAACCAGATCGATTTCGAGTTCATTGTATGCATCCGCTTAGTTTTTCCCCAGGGTTGCCTGGGACAACGCCAGCGATTCTGCGTCTTCGTCCACGTGTCGCACGCAAACCTGCAAGCTGTCACGTCGAGAGTCAAGGTGACTTTCCCCGCGTTCATGCGAGTTTTCGGACTTTTCCGGCTAACTGTCGCCGGCGTACGAAGTTTCCTCGTTTCAGGAGATTTTCGCCGTGGCTTCTGGGGGAATTTGCGGCCCGAACGCAACCGTTCGGCGACTTGAATTAACGTTGGCTAGCAATTTTACGGTTGTTTGAAATTAACACGCTGTCAACGTTCGCGAGTCTCGCTTTCGTCATGTTCGCTCGTGTTATCGATACGAATTTTTTCCGCAATGTTGCTTACGGAATTGTCTACGCCATGTCGATAGTTTGCGAATTGAAATCTGATAACCGACGTCCTCTTCGGCGTTTAGGAATTTGGACACCTTGTGACAACGCAAATCACATGAAATATAAAATAAAAGAATGAAAATAAATCTAAAAGATATAAAATAAAAATAAAAGTCTGAAAAATCCCAAAAAATGAAATCAAGAAAATTACAAAGAAGCTGATGTAGCATTCCGACGTGTAACGTTCTCGATGCAACTTGCGTGCACCCTTTACTCCGAGTGCGCTCGTTCTGTCCACCAGACAGGTCTATTCTCGCTGTTTAATAGACGGTATCAGGGAAACAATTGCAAATGTCGCGGCAAACTGTCGATATTTTTAATAACGAGGACTCGAGAAATAGCGTTCCACGGCGTGTCAGGGAAATAGATTAAAGTTTCTAATAGGATCAAGGAAAGGTCAGCCCTCGTCTAATAGTCGCAGCCGTGTCTGCACGGGAAGGACGAAAATTGTCGTCTGCACGGGAAGGACGAAAATTGTTTAAACAAATTGAACTATCAATCTGCTCCGGTAACTTTGGAAATTATCTTCGTGTTCCTATCGTCAGCTCCAGGAAGTGAGAATAATTTTTAACCTGGCGGAAAGAAAAATGTATTTGCCGTTTGAAGGAAAATTGCTAGAGACTATTTCTATTCTTTCAGCTGATCAAACGTGCCGGTGTACGACGAAATTTTTCATCAGCCGTCCACTCGGAGATAAATATTTCCCTCTGTCCTCTGTTCAACCATTTTAACGTGCGATCGTCAAGTTTCATTTCGATGGAATCGTATTCTGAACGTGCCGGCACAATTTCGAAGCTGGCCCCGTGTTTATTTTCACGCATCTGTCACGGATACACGCCATTCCGGATTAAAAGTCCGTAAGGCGTAGTTCGCTCGATGCACACGACTCTGTACGTTTCTATTGACAATGCGAGGGCGTGCCAATATATAACGAAGCCAACTTTTCAATCAGACACACTGTTAATAAACGGGAATTTAAATAGAACCGTTGATCCGTCACTAACGAACTTGCATAACTGCCGCGCCGCTTCCAATGGATCGGCGTTCGACCATCGAGCCGCAGATTTTCGTCCTCTTTATTATAGTTCAGGTCTGCTCTTATGTAAGTACGAGCTTCGGATTGACATTCGAGGGCACGCATGCTGAGAAATGTTACATCCGTGTACATCAGTCTCAAATAGTCTGGAAAAGCGAGAAGATATCGGTGATGTCTTTTAGGGAACGGATCTTCTGGATGTTTACGGGGATACTTCACGCCGCTCTCCAGTAGGATCCGAGGGTGTTTTCCACGGCGAACGAAGAGCTTTAGAGGAATTTAAAGGAGAATTTAGAGAGAAATGCTTTGACAAGTCTGGGTATACCGGGTGTCCCGAATTTAAGTGTCGAAACTTTGCGAGCGTGCAGAGGGTCGATAAGAGGAAAAAGTCCTTTAACTACCAATGTGGTCGAGATTTGTATTTTTTTTATAAACATAAAACAGCGTATTTTTAAGGAATTGAATAATTTTTCGTCAAATGTACAAAATGAAAGCGTGTATGGTCAATCGTGTCAGAAAGTTTCTCTACTATTTTTGACTCTCTCAGGGTTAAAGATTTCTTTCCCTCTGCTCCGTTTTGGAGAAAAGAACTTTTCTCGCTTAATTGGTATTGTTTGATAATTATAAATTAACTCGAAAGAGCGACTAAGAGATCAAATCGTAGCTTCAGTGCATTAAACATCACGAGACCAATGTCAGAGTGTTCAATCTTCATATTATCATACAGATGATAATATAAATATACAATAAATATACAATTCTGTTTAAATATGCAATAAATATACAATTCTGTTTAAATAAACAAGTCAAGAACCAAGAATATTTTTAATTCCCTTTTTTTGCGATTTTCTGCAAAATGAAGCAAAACACTAGCAAACCTCCAAAAGTCTCTTTTTCATCCCTACATATTTAAATTTGTCACATTCTGCACGTTCAACGTCGACAAATGTTATTTATCATCACACGTTAAGTCACATTTAAATATTAACGTTCGTATTGTGCTTACTTTATTGCTTATCACAGATCAAATTATTCACTTCGACTAATTTCTAAATTGCCAAATCGTCGGTGTATTTGGAACATTGTTGAAATTTATACGAAATTCATCGTCGTTGTTACAACATCAGCAAAAGCGGATCAATATTGCACGAGCGCGTAATGCGAGCCGGCGGAGCGAACAAATGCTCAATTAACACAGATTTCGAAACCAATTAACTTCGGTAGAGAAGAAAATCGCGAATTGTTCGGATATTGTAGCCAACTGTCCAGCCCTCACTGCAAATTTGTGAGAGTAAAGAAGGATCAAGGATAATAATTCGTTTTCGCTCGGGGTGTCGGCTCATTATGGTTTTCAATTCCTTCGATCGTTTTAACAAACGCAGTTAATAAATAGTATTATCGGGATCGTTGTTGCAAGATCGGGACTAGAATTTTGCCTCAGAGTGGTTGGCACGTAGATTTCACGTTAATCAAACGTTTGTTTCACTTCCTACCGTAGAGCTTTCGCCCATGTTTGTTCGCGCATCGCTCGAAACGCTTCAAAGTAACAACGCATGATAACGATTCCGAATCGTTTTGAAAGTAAACCGGACGGACGGTGAGGTAAATACTATCCGCGTGTTTACCGCGGCAGCGATTTCACCAGGTCAGAGACGCGGTTGCTCTCGAAAGATTCGAAGCTGCACTGTCCTCGAACGTCGACGGAACGAAAATTCTACAAATTTCGAATAAATCAGTTTTTCGAAAAGCAACCGTTTGCAATTTACATTCATTACTGGAATGGGCCTCGATACGGTTCACCAGGATTGAATCAGGCGACCGGAATTTCGTTGCTACATAAATACGCGATTATGAGAGAGAGAGAGAGA